CGGCAGAACAGCTCATCACTAAACGCACCGAAGTGAAAATTTAAATTCAGTCCGCTATAGAAAAATTCATTAATGAAACGCTGACAGTGGTCGTGACAAGCCAAAATATGACCCCCTGTGTAGCGGCCTGATCGAAGAGCATCAGGTGAGCAGCAAATGGCGTTCTAGCCATTTGTGGTGACGCGAACCCTGGGGGTTAGCGTCCGTTGCAACCAAATGCCTCACAATGCAGAGCTGTGCATAACTAATCCCCGCAAAACTCCCACGCCATACAGAGCTGGCTTCAATATTGAGCAATTCAATCGCGCACACGTCGTCACGCATGCTACCGACATCGGATCGGGGTAGAAAAGGCGAAGGTATTAACCCGATTACCCGCGAATGCCGCCTTGCCCAACATTGCACCCGCGCCTTACGTTCGCCATCGACCGGAATTGACACTGCTGTACCAGGTCATCGAGCACCATCTGCCCGAGTTCACCGAGCATCTGCGCGAACGCGGACATTTCCTGCCGAAGTTCGTGTTTCAGGAGTTTCACGACTACCTGAAGTGCGGCCGTCTGGAGCACGGATTCGTGCGCGTCAAGTGCACCGGATGCCGCAACGAACTACTGGTGGCGTTTTCCTGCAAACGCCGGGGATTCTGCCCCAGTTGTGGCGGGCGCCGCATGGTCGATACAGCCGCGCATCTGGTGGATCGGGTGCTGCCCGCAATTCCTGTTCGCCAATGGGTACTTTCCTTTCCCTATCCCTTACGCCTGCTCTACAGCACACACCCTCAAGCGATGACGCGCACACTGGGCATCGTGCTGCGCGCTATTGAAACGCACCTGATCAGAAAAGCCGGATTGACACGCGCCAGTAATGCTCGCAGCGGTGCGATCACCTTCATTCAGCGCTTCGGATCTGCTTTGAATCTCAACGCCTACCCGGCCAGGTGCATCTGCACATGCTCATCCCAGATGGAGTGTATACGCTCAGCCACGGCAAGCCGCGCTTTCATGCTGTGTCTGCACCCTCTCATAGCGAGCTTACCGCCCTGCTCAACCGCATCATCCCGCGCATTACCCGACAGTTGACCCAGGATGGATTGCTCGTCGAAGACGCCGATCAGACCTATCTCGATCTGCAGATCGACGACAGCCTCGATCAGTTCGGCGCCGCATCGCTGCAGTATCGGGTCATTCTCGGGCCAAACGCCGGCAGCCGGGTACTTACCCTGCGCAACCCCGTAACCACGACAACTGCCAGCACCAGCAAGCCCTTCACCGTCGCCCGCGACGGCTTTTCGCTGAATGCGGCGGTGAGCTGTCACGCCCACCAGCGCGCCAAGCTCGAACGGTTATGCCGATACGTAGCACGGCCACCCCTGGCGCTGGAGCGACTATCCGTAACTGATGAAGGTAAGCTGCGCTACGCGCTAAAACATTCCTACTCCAACGGCACCACTCACTTTCTCTTCGAACCGCTCGATCTGATTGCCAGACTCGCCGCACTGGTGCCCAGACCGCGAGTCAATCTCACCCGCTACCATGGAGTATTCGCACCAAACAGCAAGTTACGAGCCCAGCTCGTACCCGGCAAGCAGCGTAAGAAGCGCACCCACAAGCCTGATCTCTCGAATCCGCCGAGCCTTACAACTCAGCCAGAGCCGCCTGATCCAACGCGGCTGACTTGGGCACAACGGCTCAAACGTGCGTTCGAGTTCGATATAACCGTATGCCCCTTGTGCGGTGGATACTTGCGCGTCA